TGTAACCTTTCAAAAAAAAATCTGGTTGTCCTGATTTCCAACAGTTTGATATGGCCTTTCTAGCTCCCTTTCGATCACGCCCACACGTTATCATGAAAGCCTCCGGTCGGCAAAAGTGTCACCGTTGAGCGTCCTGCCATTAATTTCCCGCCGCCAATTAATCTCTGTCGGCCGGCAGCTGACCAATTCGTCACCGATGCTGACCGATTGGTCACCGAGTTCGTGCAATGCCACGGACACGGTGTGCATAAGGCGCCGTTATAAATGGTCCGGCGACCGTCGGCCTCAGTTGGAGCGGCTGTCGAGCGCAGCCAGCGTCCGGCTGAGTTATGGCGGACCGGCTGACGACCAGTGTCGCCGGCCACTGAAAACACGGCCAACTCGTCAGTGGGGCGGCCCCGGTCAGTGACTGCAAGCGTACTTCCATTGTCAAGACCGAGCAATGCTTCCTGGCGTCTTTGAAGCTCACACCATTAGCAAATAGCATACCGCTACAACTGTAGAGATTATGGCGTTATTGAATAATTCATGCTGGCTTCTTCCGAAAGGAAGGACATATGACCGCCAGTTTGCGTGTCTTCCTGTGGCACTCGGAGGTAATCGAAGAACCATTTTACTTCATGGATTTCCTAGGCTCTATCGGAAACGTGTGCTGAAATGGGCGAAACCCCTGCGTGATATTAAGTCACTGCGAGTCGGCAGAATCATTTGCCGAACTTTTGCAAGTTGGAAACTCAAGTGCCGGCTAACCAGAAGGAATAGCTGCCGCGGCCTGAAATAGTTGCAACTTAGGCCGTGCAGAGCACCCATGGGAACGGCGGACCGGTAGGCGGCGTCAATAGTTCGATCTCGGGGCACCTGTGGGCCGTTTAGACCGCGGCGGGCAGAGCGGGGAGCACTCCGGTGCTCTATCCTCCCCGCGGAACGCACTGGCAGCTAATCGGGGTCGGATTGTTCGGCTAGATGGGCCACGCATAATTACTGACCTGCGGAGCATGAGTGAGGCTAGCTAGTCGGTAGGTATAGTTAGCGCTAATGGGTTGTGCTCCATTTGGGATTCGATGAGCTCAATAGCTATGATATCTTGGATCATTGCTTTTCCAATGACTTGCGTCTGACATAAACATTATCTAATTTAATCTAACCATATTGTCTTCAAAAATATAGGGACATATTTTATGTCGCTACCTTTTATGTAAATGTTGATACTTTGGTTTCAACATTTATACCATTACAATGTGATCCAGAAACGATATTTGAACGGCACGTTACTGACAGCGTACCCCTTTATCAGCGATTGAGACAGATTAAAAATGTGACGTCCACCATATCATCGGTTGTCAGTGAAGCCTGCCACCGCTGTCACATAGCTGACCATCACGTCGGACAACTCGTCTTGTCACGTCCGTCACAGCATGTTGCCCGTCACGGCTGTCACGTCAGCAGTGTCACGTCCGTCCACGTCACGTCTGCAGCGTCACGTCCGTCCACGTCACGTCCGTCTCACTCGTTACACATTGATACAGCATGCAATACTTCGTCCAATCGTGTACCTACGTTGCGTCCAGTTTGTGTTGTTTCTTCAGCACGTCTAACCACTTCACCACTGCTTTGCACATTATCCGCATCAGGTTACATTATATTTATCACACTATGATCATTTATCTATGTTTCACCCTCTGTATCTCTGAAAACTCATTTGATCATAGAAACAACAGAGGACTGGGTTTACAAGACACGACAAGTGGTTCGTTCGTTCGTTGGGCCTTTGTGTCTGTCTAGTGTCTACCGTGGTGAGCGCGACACCTCCCACCAGCCACTCAATCCACACTGGAGCTGGACTCCAGGGTGTGACAGGACACCCCAAACGGCTCTCAAAGAGCACTGATGTGAGAGAACCCGTCACCAGAGTCACCCACAGCGCTCAGAGCCGGCTCCGCGGCTGACTCAAAACACGGGAGTGGCGCATTTCGGCGGAGCCGCGGCGCCGCTTCCAGTGGTGAATTCAATTTGCCGAGAAATGAGGGCCTCCATCGGTGGAGTGGGCCGGGACACGGCACTCTCCAGTGGGGAGGGGGGAGGTGCGCCCATCGGCGCAGGGGGGGGGGGCGCTCAGAAAGGAAGTGATTTGTCTCTCCAGCTCAACAAATAACGCGTCTGTATTTCGCTTCGACTGAAGAGAGGTGTGTAAGTGGTTTGTCAATAACAGTGCTGATGTTACTCAGCTCGCCAATGCCTAGATTAGTATGTGCTGTGCTTGCGTTTGGATAATTGAAAAGAAAACTGAATGCTTGCTTATTCTGCAAACGTAGACGAACTTCGTAGTGAAATGAGCGAACCGAATGTGAACATCGCTTGCTGAGCACAGTCATGTGTTCTAGCAGAAGAAGGACGGAGAAATCGCTGCCTCCGTTGCGCCGGTCATAAAGTTACCTAGTGAGTAATGCCTTGGTCTTAACGCGCGGCAAAGTTCGTCGAGTGGCAAATATTGAATTACCCTGCCGGCACGCCCAAAAGCCGGGACACCCCACGAAGTTTCTTAATGACGGCGATTAAGAACTGGGCGAGGAAAATACTGATGTAGCGAGAGGAAATATGAAAGTTAAATGAAGGCGGTTAACCATCTTGATATCAGATGACACCAGTTTAAAATATGTTAGGTTTATCTAATGCCTTTTTAGATGTAATAAATGATTGGAAAAGTGGCTAAGTATGTAAGGATCTTGCATTTTACGCATGGGAGCTGACCACGCAGCATAGCAAAAATCGTACCTATTTGAATCAAGCCTATCAAAATAAAGCGGCCTCGAAAAATAGTCCAAAGTGTGAGACCGTCGTTCGATACGAGTATTTACATTATTTTATCCTCAACGTCATAACACATCCACATCGCAGAAATAGTGGATGTGACATCCCCAACACTGACGCGGCTAAATCAATAACGGGACCATTTTCGTTCCATTTTCTCACGCTCTGTTCCCAGACTAAGCCGTTTCTGGTCGTCCCGAGGGCCTGACTGAACTTGCAGACACCGTGCCGCCCACCCAAATTTTCCAGTTGCCACGCCAGCCCACCGGAATGGGCCGATGACCCGCGCCGTCCACGGGAGATGATCAGTCCTCGGGTGGATTTGTGGGTACAGATGGCCGACCGCAGGCCCCAGTCGGCAGCGCCGCGATATTAGAAGCGCCGCCGCCGCCGCATTTCACCGTTTATGGTCCCTGATATGGCTCAATCGTGGGGCTGGTTGTACGCTGTTACTGCTGGCTGGAATAGAGTCGCAACGGGCGCGGCCCGACTGCAGTGGCTGGCTTTGCGTGAGGGTCAGCTGTAGTGAGGCGCGCTTTACAGGCGTCGTTAAACCATTTTAGGGCTCAAGCACTGTCGTCAACAAGGGACACAGTCGCTGGGGAAAATGATGTTTTCCTGTAAGAACATGGTTTTCTAACGCTTTACTGCCTAAAATGACTAAATTATGATCTAACTGTAGAAAGCAGCGTCCTGAATTTACACAAGACCTTGTTATTGAATAATGGAAATACGACGCATTACAATGCGTGTATTTTGTTCTATCGCTGCCCGCTGGCTCTCCTTTTAGTTGGCAGATGAAGACGGAGTTGAAAATGCATATACCTTGAGCCCTAAATAATTCACTTACTGCACGTAAGGAAAAAAGTATCCGCTCATACAAATATACAAATGATTGTAAGAGTTTGCAGTAAAAGTACGGGCCATCACTGCGTCTGTTTCGACCTTGCCGAGCTGGCACGCCCGCCGGGCTATGGCCGTCACATTCCTCTCGCGCCTGGCCGCCAATATCTGGCCTCGATCGTCACCTTTCTCACGGCCGGGCCGCCGCCGTCTTGGCACGTGCCCACCATCAGCGGTTTTATGCAGGCCGGCGCTCCGTCCGCCCGCCGCCGGTGGCCAGGTCGCCGGTACGAGTCGGCCACGGTCTCCGGGCTGAGCCCAGTCAGAGGTGCAGTCATCACCCCATCACCGCCGCTGCCACTGGCCGTCCGACACCGTGACAGCGTGACAGTGAGCCCTCCAACAGCCACACACCGTAAGGCTAACGCAGCTTTCAACGCACTAAGAGCATGGCACCCGTGATGGTTATGCATATGAGGTAATTACGCTGGCCGGGGATATGACACCAGATATGGTTATGAATATTAGGCAATTAACTGCGCGCAGCTGCAGAGCACCGGCCATTCAGAGTGCCCCCGAGTCAACTCAGGTCGAATTAGGACACTGTCCCCGGTGGCGTTACTACAAAGGCAGCGCAAAGGTACTTTTGGACAAAAGTGTACTAAAAAGAAATTGATTTGTTAGCTGTCCCGCCTTGATACAGCATACGCAGCGAAAAAGGTTGAGTTTGATAACATTCATCAATACCCTATTCATATGCATCTAGAAAGGTGACTTTGATGGAATCTATCGATGGTATCGCAGGCTGTTCGCCAGATCCCCTCCTTTGCTGGAGCTTCAATCAGTATCACACAATGACTGTCGGAAACGCAATTCCCTAACACCTCAGACCAGAATCTCGGACGGAGGCGCGCGGGTCGCCAGACGGCTCAGCCCGGCTTCATCTGTCGCGCTCATTCAGCGGCATTTCGGCGCCGTTTTGAGGCTGAGGCGAGATCTGAGACCGAAGTATTTTGATAATGTAGGTGACCTTGGGCGTTTAAACGTCACTTAGCTGATTTAACAGTTTCATGGGCTTTTCTGACATCACTACATTGAGCAATACTGATATCGCTGCCTCGCTACCAGTCATGGAACGCTAGCAGCCATCCGGGTGGCCACCCAGTCCTCACTACCTCCCCACCCAGCCCTCACTATCTGCTCATCCAGCCCTCACAACCTTCTCACAAAGCCCTCACCACCACCATCACCAGGTCGCCGCACCCTGTCCTGGTGCAGCCGCCACTATACCATCACCAGGTCGCCGCACCCCCTTCTGGTGCAGCTACGGCAGCACTGCGATCACCAGGTCACCGCACCCCGGTCCTGGTGCAGCCGCCACAGCAGCCAGCTCGGCAGATTGGCATCTCGTGTCCTATCAGCGGAATCGCCGCTGAAACCCATTCAGACCAGTCTCCGCTCTCTCCTCGAATGAGCCCGAAACACTGGTGCACTGTGCCGCGCCTCTGGATGGGACAGTTTCGGAGATATAAAATAGCGAATTTTCTGCTTTATTAGCGAGAGTATTCGCATATCCTGCCAGTCCTTCGCACAAATGTGGTTTTAACGCGATTATTTTGCTATCAATGTGTAACTTTCGGTTTGGCGGTACTGGCTCGTGAAAAATGGGATAGCTGTATGAAGCCATGAAGGTTTGATAATTTGATTCACGTTCGTTTGAAGTTGGTGCCAATGAAAGTCCCTTGCTGGATTTTACATATTGCTGGGCCATGATCAATTGCGGTACGTTCAGCAGGACATTATAGTCAGCGTATACGTTTAACGTCAGTCGTGGATACATTAAAAAAAAAAACATTTTCATGATTACCTAGTTACATCGTCCATCGACTTGCTTCGAGACACAATGAAATGACAGTCAAGCTCGAATGTTGTGTTGCGCGACAAGAGCTTTAAGTCGTAAATGGCCTCAATAGTCGGTATTGCTACATTTTGGCTGATGGGCATCACAAGAAAAATAGCCCATGAGGTACTTGACAGCCGACGCCTCCCTATTGCCCAATAACAGCGCTGCCCACTCCTCCCAAACCCTCCTTGGAACTCACCTGTGAGCGCAATATACTTCAGTCGCACCTCCACCGTTGACAGCAGCTGCAGCGGCAGACGCGGCAGCGCGTTATCGGCCAGGTCGAGCTGCTGCAGCTCGGACAGGCCGGTCAGACTGCGCCCGTCCAGCCGGCGGAGGCGATTGTCAGCCACTCTCAGCTCGGTGAGCGCCGTCAGAGCAGACAGCGTCTCCGGGGGTATGTCCGTCAGAGCGTTACCGCTGAGGTCAAGAGAGGTCAGCGCCGCCAGGTCGGCCGGCAGACGGTCCAGCTCACGGAGCATGTTCTGCGTCAGGTTCAGCCGGCGGAGCGCGTGCAGGCCGCGCAGACGCTCGGCGGGAAGGCGCTCCAGCGCGTTACCGCTCAGATCCAGCGAGCGGAGCTGCGAGAGAGACCGGAACGCCCCCGGGGACACCCGCGTGATGCGGCCGTCGCAGAGCCGCAGCTCTCGCAGTTTCGGGAAGATGCCGAGCTCGTTGGAGGCGATGTTGGTGAGGGCTGTGCTGCAGACGGTCAGCTGTTCTAGAGCTGGGAGCCGTCCGACGTTCTGCTGCTCCTCGCTAAGCAGCTTTCGCAGAGGGTTGCCGGTGAGGTTCAGACTGCGCAGCGACTCCAGCGAGTCGGACGTCACGAAACGTGGAATCATGTCGAACTCGTTGAAGGCAAGGTTTAGTGTCACGATCGATGCACGATAAAAGGAGCCCGGTGCTACGACTTTCAGGAAATTGTGTTGCAAAAGGACGGTGTTAAGTCTGTCCAGGTTCGCGAACGGCCGAGACGACACACGTGAGATCATATTGTTAGAAAGGTTGAGAATTTTAAGACCAGTTAAGCCACGCACTGACACATCTGAGAGTTCTGAGAGCTGATTGTGCGCCAGGTTCAATACCTCAAGATTGCGCAGTTCAGGAAAGGACACACTCTTGAATAGATTAAAGTTCAGGTGCAGCTCACGCAGAAACACTAAATTACCAAAGAACGCAGGGTCAATGTGCGTGAGCTTGTTATATCCGAGCTTTATCACCTTGATTTGTGTGTTGTCTGCCACGAGGCTAACAAAAACACTGTTGAGGTTCATCTTCTCCATTTCGAGTGTTTCAAGCATGGGCACTCCGTGATAGACGCTTCGGTCGAGTTCACGCACATTGTTGAACGATACCGAGAGCCGTTTTAGTGTCGAAATCCACATAAAGCCGAGCACCAACTTTTCCAGCATGTTTCCCCGTAAGTCGAGCTCCTCCAGTTCCGGTAAGTCCTGGAAGGTGCCTTCTTCGATTCGTGTAATGGAACAAGCACGCAGCACCAGTCTGCGGAGCGGCACACCGCCTTCAAACATTGTCCTATGTGTCACAGGGATCTCGTTTTCACTCAGGTCTAGCTCACGAAGACTCGTGAGCGTTTCAAAGGTCCTGGGTGCAATATCCATGATTGCGTTCCCTGATAGGTCAAGTCTTGTCAAACTCCGTAGCCCAGCAAAGCTGTGCTGATCAAGCCGACGGAGTTTGTTGCGACTAAGGTCGAGAACGGTTAGTTCGCCACAGCTAGCAAAGGTACCGTTCGGCAGTTCAGTCAACAGGTTATCTTGCAGATACAGCTTTCGCAGGCTCCTCAGATCACTTAGTGCACCAGGTGGTAGATAAGCGATCGTATTGCCGTTTAGACCCAGGATTTCCAGCACGGTGAGTCCACGAAGCGTGGAATCTGAGAGTCCAGTCAGAGCGTTGGCGTCCAGTTGTAATGAGATGAGATTGGTGGGCGTACTGCTGAGCACGCCGCCAAGCTGGCGCACCTGGTTCCCCTGCACATTTAGATGCTGCAGGTTGTGAAGGCCAACAAATGCTGCATCGCCCACCGTTTGTAAACGATTCTGTTGCAGGTGAAGCTCTTGCAAGCTCGTGAGGGACGCGAAGTCGTCGGCGCGTACCGAAGATAGCCGATTGTTTTGTAGCCGCAGCTCACGGATATTGGCCAGCTGAGAGAACAGTCCCTCAGGGAGATAATTCAGCTTGTTGCCGTCCAGACTGAGAACAGTCAGACCCTTGGTGGCGTGGAACACCATAGCTGGGAGCTCAGGGATCTGATTCCTGTTCAGATGCAGCTGCGCCAGTTGTGGAAGAGCAGCGAAGGCGTCCGCCTCCACTCGCTCTATGGCGTTGTTCTGGAGATGCAACACCGCTAGGCGAGAAGCGTTGCCGAACGTCTCGTTAGCGATCTGCAGCAGGTTGTTATTGGCGAGAAAGAGCTCTTTCAGGTCCGAATGAGCGTCGAAGAGACCGTCTGGGATCTGGTGGAGATGGTTCCCGTTCAGGTCTACGGTACGCAGCGCTGGACACCGGGCGAAGAGGCCCGCCGGCAGCGCCCGCAGTCGGTTGTGACTGAGGTCAAGCGACTGTAGGAGACGATTACCGGTGAACGCGGAGGGATCCACGTGCTCCACCTGGTTCATGTGCATTGAAAGCCTCCGTAGCGCAGGAAATGCCGCCAACGTACCGCTCGTCAGCGCAATGAACTGGTTCGCACTGAGATCCAGGGTTTCCAGACGCTCAAACCTACTGAAGCCGTCGTGTACCATCTTGTCTATGTGGTTCCAGCCGAGGTTCAGTGTGGTAAGTGCTTTTAGCCGGCGCAGGGCACTGAGAGGGAAGAGCGTTAGTTGGTTCTTGGCAGCGTTCAGCGACACCAGAGTCTCCTCGAGGCCGGCGAAGGCGTACTCAGACACAGTCTCTATGCCGTTACTCTTGAGATCGAGTGAGACGAGCCTCAGACCGTGGAAGTCGTAGCTCTCCAGCTGTCTGATCTCGTTGTGCTCTAGATCCAGCTTCACCAGCTGTGGCAGCCCAGCCAGCGCCGCCCGTGGTACCGAGCCCAGTTTCCCCCGCACCAGCGCGACGCTCTGGAGCACGGCACCACCGCCGGCCAGGCTGAGCTCGCTCAGTCGCTGCAGGCCGGACTGGGAGATCTGCAGCTCCCGCACAGTACCGTTGCCGAGGAAGCCCGCCGGCAGCTCCCGCAGCGTCGGCTCCAGCTCGTACACCCTCAGCGACTTGACCGGCCCGTGGACCTGCGCCAGCGCGCCGACCACCTCGGACGCGTTCACCGTGTTGCAGTCGACGAAGAGGCCGCCGTCGAAGTCGTAGCAGGGGCAGCGCGGCTGTCGCTCGGGCGGCGGGCACGCGGCGGTGGCCGGCCAGCTGAGACACAGCAGCGCGGCCGCGCGTAGGTACCACATGCTAGTCGGCCGGGCCGCGTGCCGCCTCCTCTGCGCTCATCGCGGGTCTGCCGGCAGACAGAGGGAGGGGGGGGGGTGTTAGACGATATAAAATTATGACTGTTCCGATGGGTAAAAACTGCATAACTTGTATAACATTGGTCCCCTCAAGACTGTATTTACCGACAACTCCTGAACACTTTACGGAATATTCCAAAAATATTTTCATCTATAACTTTACTACCGTATTTTCCCCTTCATGTCATGTTATGATTCATAACTCATCTGTTATGGACAAGATCTTTTACAGGCTGACAAAGAAAACCACTTGTAGTAAGCAGTTCAAGTTGATTCCTGACAGCTGCTCTTTAAGGACCCACAGCACGGCTGCACCCTCAGATCGGGGCGTGCGGTACCCTTTGATCGGGGCGTGCGGTGTCCTTTGATCGTCACCCTCAGGACGAGGGTGCTGCAGAACAGCTGGCATCGTCATGTAAGACGCTTTCAGAGATGTAACGCACCTGGGGTGATTCGACGGCGACGGAACTTAGTAGAAGGCCAAGGTGGAGCGGTGTTTTGGAATTGCAGGTCGGCTACCTTATGTGGTACGTAGTATCTGGTGTAATATAATTTTATCCCCCCTCCCCTCTCAAAAAGTGTTGCCAATGAGTAAGCATCTGAACAAAAATAAGCTTATCTACTCCTAATGTATTAGCTGAACTGTATTTGTCCTTCATTTGCTCTGTTGGTGTATACGAACTAGAAATTTAGTCCAATGCCTGCTGCCATCACAGGCGTACCTGTCATTTTCTCCTTCTATGCAATCCCATTAATGCCAAATAGCCTCTTCGTGCTCCATTTCTTTAGATAAATGCATTAGCTTCGTGCTCGGTGTCGAGAGATTTACGGGGATCTGATAAGAATATTTTAACCATCCTAGAAAATATGTTTGTAGAGCCATGTTTTGTATTCGGTAAACTAGTTATCTACCACATTTTTAAGCTTCCCAATGGTCGACTTCAGAGCATCCGAGACATTATCTGGTTGTCAAAACTGTCAATAAATGTGTGAGTTCGATGCTCATCCCAAATGTCTCGAAACCCACTTGGTCTGGCTTCGATGTAAACCAAGTGTTTGACATGTTATCTCGATCATACTTCCAAACAGACATAAAAGCTCCATTTCGATCCAAATTCAGAGAAGTGATCTGGAGTCTATACACGTATACAAGCGAAGTAGATCATGGTCTCAAGACCGGGGGCCCTCACGACTCGCCAATTTGCTCTCTGTTGCGCCCTGACTCAGCGAACAGCCGCTACATGCCCACGGCTCTAATTGTGTCTGAGCCTTGATTGCCGCAGTGACGTATTCGCGGCGCCGCGGATTGTCTCGGCTGGATCCCGAATCAACTCGCGGCAAATCAAAGGGCGCGGCCACCCCCGGTGAATTCAAATGGCCCCTGATTGAATTCGCGGATAAAATAGCGTCTCCGCCTGTCGGGAATGGGGACTAGTGAGCTGTGCTGTTTGGAGGACGGCCGTGGAACACTGAGCTATCGAGACGCAATGGGACGAGTAGGAACGGCGCAACCCCATGGCAATGCTAATTGCTGAAGCTGATTTGCGGAGCAGCAACAACCGACAAGGATGAATTTAATAGTTTTACTTCCTAAATACTTGTATTTGTAGTGTAGCAATTATTGTTTTGTCCAATTGTAGCAGCAATCGTTTGAAATGGGATATTGTCTGCTTGCTCGCTTGCCACAACAACCCAAATCAACTCAGTTTGGTCCGCGGCTTTACCTACTTGACATAGTGAGACGGCCAAGAGCATCGTAATAGCTACATTGTTGAATACTGCCGAAAGCACTTAGCTCTGTATCAGCAATGCGGAGCAAAGGCACTACAGGGCAACGCTCACGTTTTATTTCGCCCCTCAGCCGACCATCTCGATGCCAAATGCAGTCATTATGGAAGTCGGTGCCAATTTTTTCGCTCCACTCTCTATGTAAATTACGAAGACCATCCAATAAGAAAGTGGAGAGGGAGTGTCTTGTGTCACCGTTCATTCTCCTAACAGAAGATCGATACGCAACTGTTCGAAGTAAGTTTGTCTGGACCTGGAACTGAATGTCACCTGTGCTGAACTGAAGTTAGCATGCGCTTTATTTGCGTACGAGTAGCCCTGAACTTCGTTTCTAATGTTGTTGCAGTTGTTTGTCTTTTAGAGCTGGTTGAGAGCTAACGTTAGAAAGTTCCACTATTACCTGAATAAAAAAACAAAACTTAAAAATAGAAGATATTAATCTGACCAGAAAAATAGATAAAATGTGTTTTTCAATAAATATTGGTCAGAGCAATGCATTTTCCTGTGTAAGATACCAATTTATAAAAAAGAGCAATGTTCAGCATACAGGTGGCACGCCCAGGGCCCCTGTTACACCGTAAACACTGCTGCTGAATGCTGCAGACAGACAGGTGCTTGGGCACGCAATAAAGTCCATTCCGGACGTGTGAGGCTGCAGCCCAACAGATGCACAAACACTCTGTTCCGACTGGTGCCGCGAGCCGCTCTCTCCGCCCGTGCAGAGCCGGACGATCGCTCCACAGGGGGGGGAGAGGGAGGGGTGAGCGCGCCGGAACCCGTAAAAACTCGCTTCCGCCGCCCACCGACCCAGTGAAACACAGAACCATAAACACTCCTCTGCCGACAGCTGGCGGTAGACAGACCCCCACCAGCCCCCCCCCCCCCCGGCGGCGCCGCTCAGCCTCCGGTCACCAGCCATCGGAACCGCATCAGAGTTCAGCAGTGCAGAAACGAGTGTGCACCGCCCGTCGGGTGGCTCGGTCAAGTTCTAATGAACGGCGGTCGGGCGCTACCAGCTCCTGTCAGGTCAGAGGCCGCCGCCGCCAGCTGACGAGCACCAGTTAGCGGAACCGCGGTGGACGGAGCGTGACTGTTCCAGATACCCGATAGCCTCGCCTTTCGCAGCATGTTGTTGATGATACTGAGACTTGCAACAAACTGATTCAAAAGGTAATAAAGCAGATGTCATAGTGCTCGTCTAAAAGGCATAGATATGTGTTCAATGTGTGCGTATATATCAGTTGATTGTATGATGCCGTATGAGTGATTAAGACTCAGTAGAAATTGGAATGCATCGGACTGTGAAAGATTGTAATGGGATTATAATGGCAGGGCATTTAACTGAATGAGCATTCACAATGAGCTCGTTTGAATAGTGACGACAAAGGGTTTGTGTAAGCTCACGATAACAGATAGTGAAATGCGAGCCATACAAAAGTGGGAGAGAGATTAATCATTCACCCCGCCAAAACAGCTTGTAAACGTTTGGGCCTTGTATGGATACGAAAACCGTAAATTTAGCGCAAATTTTCGCAGCATGTTGTTGCAGCATTTTTTCAGCGAATCATGCGTTAGAACTAGATGATGAGATTAGAAAGAATTGGCGTACCGGGTCCGTATTATGAGCGCCGATGCAAGCCTCAACCGCGCGCACCACGCCAGGCTGACGCAGGAACGCTGCACTGGTAGGCTGTGCCGCAGGACACAGGTGTGCGGCGGAACATACGGAGTGTGGTGGTAAGTTGCGCGTAGGGGAGAGTGGGGTAATTTGGCCGGTGGTATAAATTGGCCGCCCCCACCTGTACGATGTCTAATAAAAGTGAGTGAAATAACGCTAGTCTCTATTCATTTGTCATGGGTAGAAATAACTGGAGGACAAATGTCAAAACTTTGCCCCTCGTAGTTTTATTCAAAATTAATAAAACGTTAATTTCATAAGAAAATGGTAACTTTTACTTCTGTTTACAAAGTTGTATAACATGTAGTATTTGGGCTAAAAACGAATTCAGACATTATAGCGCCATTCTTGGGGGTGTTCAGCGGTTCCAAGAGCAATTTCATCTAATTCCGTATAGCCGTGATGACTTTATACACAAAAATTTTCAGAATGGCAATATGGGGTAATTTGGCCGGGACTAGCGGGGCAACTTGGCCGGTGCGCTCATGGTCACAGGGGCGTCGCCGACGGGGGGGTCGGGGGGGTCGCGACCCCCCCACTCGTCAGAACCGGGGGGGTCGACCCCCCCACTTTTGGCGATGCTGAGTATGCTTTTTTTTTAGCTATCATGTCAGGGAAGTTGGCGTCAGCAACATCAACAAATACAACGTCAGATTCAGAATCGCTTCAAGAGCTCCCTAGTTCCTATTGCTTATAGGTCAATAAGCTGTGGGCTAGAACATCAGCATGACAATATGATTTTAGTCCCTATTTATCCCTCAAATGAGCGAGCGCGTCAAAACTGACCCAAGCGTTCGTCTGATTGTCAAAATAATGGTTGCAGTCGATTCGTCGGATGACGTATCAGTAACTACGAGGTACCTGGCTAGCCTCAGCCCTGCTACCCTCGGACCTGCCTGCATAGGGGAAATGGGGTCAGACGGTGGATCCCTCTGGGGCTTTCCTAATAAGACGCGCAAAAAGGAGTATATTGCAACGAAACTTTCAGTGACCTCGAGTTAATGAATTTTACACCTATTCTAAAAAAATGGCCCTGATTCGAATATGGATGACCTTGGTTAACTTCTTTGAGTTTTATTTGCTTCCACTTACAAGTGTGGTTTTTGGGGCTGATTTCGAGTTCAGCGCCCGTTTGAACCGTTTGAAGTACAGGGTCTTTCATAATGAATGTTATTTTCAAAACGCGAAGTTGAAGGTGTTCGTAAATAATTAAACCATAAATTTTGTATTTACCTTATTGCAAATTTCTTGGAAATACTGTCGATGTAATTAAAACTGCCACACTTCACCAAACTTCCCTTTTGTGCGGACATGAAATGCATCCCCCTATAACACGGGTCAGCTCTTTTTTTCACGTAGGCGTTTTGGGTGGTCGTGGGAAACGGCTCACTGAAGCGCACGGCTGTCCTCCGTAAGATTCGGGGACACTTTTAAAAGAAGCACAATGTCCGCTCTAAAATGATCACAGGCTTGTGAATAGATTCCAGAATGTCACGACTCACGGTTGATTGCAAGGAACAAAAC